TAGAATATTCTTCTCTTGGATAATATTTGCCATCTATGTTTATATGATATTTAATACCAGGGTTGTAGAAACAAGAATAGTCATTTATAGTTCGTCTGAACAGTACAAACATGTATCTGCATGTTTCATTGCAGTTGTTAAAGCAATATCTGTTCTTGCACCTGGGTCAGCACTTTGGTTTCCAACTTCACCTGCAAAGTCTTTGACAGATATTTGGTGTATAGGGAACATAAGTGGAACTGCAATATATTTTGGCAGCTAAAGCATTTGAAATATCTGGGTCCAACATATAGACTGCAAGTCTGCTTTCTATTCTCTTGCATTCAAACTTTTCGCATGTGAACTTAACTGGTCCAAGCAGTTCCAGCAGCATTGAAATAATAGTTACTTCAGTGTTGAGGTTTGAGAAACCAAAGTCTAAGTCAACTTTGTCTTTGCAAAATTCGGCGAATGACGTTTGATTTGTTCCCTTTACGTCTGTAAGAGTGAATGGGTCTTGTGTTGGTGCAATGACTAAGTTATTTTTGCTTGGAGTAAGTTCGATAGAAATTTTTCCTGCCCAGTTTGGCAGTATCTTAAAAACCTGAAGATGAGGAAAGATGACAAAGAACTCTAAGTTTTCAGTTTTACTTTGGTTACTGCTGCTGCAGTTTGTCCAGAAAGGTTAACATAAACTCCTGGAACGTTAGGGTCAAGTCTTCTTATTTTCTCAATAGTTGCATACTGGTCTGTTTGTTCTCTAGCTTGTGGTTGTACTGAGTTTCTCAAAGCGAACCATTCATAGTTGCCCAGGTTACTGTTTGAACTAAGTCAGAGTTAGAATATATCTTATATCCCATGAAAACTTCTGGAGCATATTGGTATCCGACATAGAAAATTCCATTGCAACCTTTCTTGTCAGACAACTTGGCAGAAGGTTTTATTTCAATGTCTTGTTCACGTATAAGAAAGAGTTGTCAATAGAAATAATATGAAACCTGTCGCAAGCAATATCTACTGTTGTTGAAGAACCTTCCAAACTCACCTACGTTTCCATAAGAAACAGCAGTTGTATATTCGTAAGTTCCAGGAACTATTTCTGACCTTCTAATGGCATTGTCGCATTCGTTATACCATTCGAAACATTTCCATTCATGGCATCCAAAACTGTTGGCGTTATATTCTGAGCGGCGTACATTTCATATGGGTAAAAATATAGAATAGTTGGATTTATGTGTCATAATAGAACCCACTCGACCAAGCTTTACTTTCTTCCTGACTGAGTTTTTAACTCTTTTTTTCCTCATTGCCACTACTTTCACTAGATGAAGTTACTTCTTCACTACTTTCACTTTGTTCTACTCTTCTCTTCTTCTTTGGTGTCGCTTTTGGTAACTTGCCCTCTGCTTCAAGTTGTTGCATCTTTGCCTCATGTTCACTAGTATGTTGTAAATTTCCCATGTCCTTTTTGCCTTTGGGCTCTGGTCGCCCATCTCAGGTAACCTATATCCTAGAAAGATTTTGTCATTTTGTATTTGAGTCTTCGCGTATTGTTTGCATGATCTTTCCTGAGTTTCCGGTTCAAGCTCTTCAAACAGAGCTTGTCCATATGGAATAAGCTCGTTTCCAAATATATGTTTTTGTAGCCATTCTGGTTTTCTTTCCATGTTACCAACAATATCTTTTGTGAATGGGAAAGCTTTTACCCAATCTTTCAGTCTTGCGTCATTTATTTCTGTAGTTGGTTTTATTTTGTCAAGGAACATGTTTTTCAATACTAACATTTCATTTGTACTGTCCATTTGAGTTTTTAAATATTCATCCTTCTCAGTTCATCGTCTGCAAAGTAAGTTTTTATGACATTTTGTAAACTTTCGTTTGCAAGGTCATGTACAATAGGTTCTCTTCCTTCTCCCTCCCTAACTTTCTTTCTAAACTCTTCACCAAATATACCATCTCTATGGTTCTGTGTAGTTCTTTGAGATAAATGTTCTAGAACGTCAGGTGTTATATTTCATCAGCCATGTTCATTTCATACTGGTCCAAAATATCTGCATGTTTCATATCTTTCAATGGCATTAAAGCCGCGCTTAAAATACCAGCTATATCTGGTTCACCATTCACTTCCATTGCGTCTACAACTTCTTGGAATTGAGGTTGTAAGTTTATGAACCACCTATCCGGATTAGCTTTATGACCCCATCTCATTGTAGTTCCATAGTCTGCAGAAACAAAAGTAGGTTTGTTTCCATCTTGGTTAGGTTCTGAATGAACTTTAAACAATGTTTCATTTCTATATGTTTTGTTGAAATTTAACCTTTTATTTTCACCGAGTTCATCCAAAGATTGAACGTTATATGCTCGTAAGTAAAAAGGATTGTTGTATTTGCGTACATTTTCTTTCAGTACTTCCATTCTATGCTGAATATTTTCATCTGGTGTTGGAGTCTTTTGTATGTCGGCAAACATTTTTCGATATTCTTCTACTATGTCAGCCGAATTTTTTTTAGACTCTTGGAAAAATTCCATATTCTCCGCATACACTTGTTGAGGGTCAAGATTTTTCGGCTGTTCCAAATCTTCATCTAGTTCTGTGAAGTTAGTTTCCAAAGGAGGGACTTGTTCGTTTCCTTCTGGCTCTTCTAGCTGTTGTTGCTGAACTATTTCTTCCATGTCTGGTTGTATCTGAACTTCTTCCTGTGGAGTTTCTTGTACCTCATCTGCTGGCATTTCATATATTCCGAGACCGTTTTCAACAAGTTCCCTATCTAAGTTATCCGGACTCATAAACCTTTCTTCTTTCGTTCCGTCTCTATTTTTTACGCGTTTCATGAAGAGAGTTAAATTGTCATTTAGCTCTGACATCAAATATCTCGGAGTAAATTCGTTCATGTCATTTGGATGATATGCTATTAAATCATATCCCTTAGCGAGCTTGTATTTTCCAGGTTTGAGATTATATCCGTTTTGGTGCTGAGTCATAAAGCTAAATAGGTTCGGGTCAGTATTTCCTTCCTTGAACTTTCTAATAGCTTCTTTATATCTGTCACTAAAGTCAAGAGTATCTGGGAAACCATACTCTTCTTTAAGCATTTTTAAGAATTCTTGGTTTCCTTGTTCTCTACTTCTTTTATGTCCTTGCTCTGTTTGTGGTTGTTGTTGTGCTGGTTGTTGTTGTTGTTGTTGTTGTGCAGGGTTTTGAACTGTTGGTTGCTGTGCTGGTTGTTGTTGTGGTGCTGGATTTTGAACTGTTGGTTGCTGTGCAGGGTTTTGAACTGTTGGTTGCTGTGCTGAATTTTGAACTGTTGGTTTTGGTTGTTGTTGTGGTGCTGGGTTTTGAACTGTTGGTTGTTGTGTTGGTTGTTGTTTTGGTGCATGCTTGTGTCTGTGTCCATGTGACGATGTAAATGTTTTAGGTAGTCCTGGTGCAGGTGCTTCTCTTGGAGGGTTTGGTGGTATATAAGTTCCACTAGCTAGTATATAAGTTCCACCAGCTGGTATATAAGTTCCACCAGCTGGCACATATGTTCCATCTGCAGCATAATGTCCTACCTGACTTTTCGTTCTTAAGAAAGCATTTACTAGGTCTGTTTTGGTCTGTTGTAACTCTTTTTCTTGACTTTCCACAACAGTTGCTCTAACGGCGTCATAGGCACTTTGAACTGCCTGTCTCGTTGCTGCATCTGTTATTTTCGTCATATTTTGTGCTACTTCTTTTAACTCTTTGTCGAAACCTTCAGACTTCAGTTTCTTTCCAGATGAGAAGTCGTTCACTTGTTTCACCTTACTATGAAGAGCTTCGAAGGCGTTCTTAAAGTCAGCATTTGTTAAAGCTTCATTTGAACTGTCTTCATCCGCTTGTATTTTTGTCCTTATTGACCCTATAAGTTGGGCTGCTTTAGCGTTGGCTTGGGCATCTAACCAGTCATTGTTAGCTTTTATATATTCTGCGCTTTTCATTGCCTTTTGCATGGCTGCGTCGTTATTTTTACTTTCTTGTGCTAATTTTTCATACTGTACGGTTTGGTTTTGCAACTGTAAAAGTTTTTCTGCCTTTACATTTGCTTCAACTTCTTTTTTACTCATCGCTATCCATATATGTCTTCAGGGCTTTTTGTTTTATCTCTTCATCTTTCAGTACTTTATATATTGAGTAGTATGGTTTTTCAAATTTAAAACATCTTGTTCCATTTTTGCTACTTCTGCTGCTGCTTTTTTCTGACACTTTTTTCGCATATTCCTCTGTACTTAGTTCTTTCAGTTGTTCTTCTTTCTTCTTTTTCTCTACGTTTAACTCATTGAGTTTCTTTGTGTGTCTGTCATATTCTAGTTTCTTTTCGTTTTCACTTATTTGCTTCTGTATGTCTATGTTTGACTTTTTGACATCTGTTATTTGATTTTTGAGTGAACTCAAATTCATTTGACTTTGAGGGTTATAGGCTGTTCCGTCTGCAGCTCCACCATAGCCTGCCATTTTCGCTAAAAGTGCCGCTCTTAAACCTCCACTCTGTGCACCAATGACTCGGTTTAAAAGCATAGGATTGCTTGACATTTGTTGCAACATAGTGGGGTCATTCAGCATTTGTTGTTGCAACTGTTGTTGTGGTGTCAGTTTTACTTTTGGATGTTTCAATGCTCCCTTCCTCTTACGTATATTCTTACGTAGCTTACGTGGCATTTTAAGTGAAGTTAAAAAGCGGCTTTATACTAAACATCTTCGGGGCTAGAGGGCACGAAGTGCCTGGAAGCCCCACTACCTTTTTTTTTGAATAACAAAATGAAATCCCAATACATTTCAATCAATATTATCAGAATTGGATATTTTTATTAATATCAAATGCTGCTTGATATTTGATTCATTTTGCTCAGAATGCTTGAGTAATTGAGATATCCTTGCTTGATTGAATTAATAGAGAAAGAATTCTGCAAAAAATCATCAGTTGGGTTGGGCAGTATTGAGAATTTACTAAATATAGCTTTTAATGATTCAATACAAATATTTGTCTTTTAAAAACTTTTTTATGTCTTATCAAGACAATCAACCAAGCCAATACAGTGAATTGCGAAGTATCCACAAATGCTACATTGATTTATATAATGTATTATATCAGCTGAAAACAGAAAAAGAAGACGAATTAAACTCAATTTACAAATTGATCAAAACGGAATTGATTGATTCAAAGATATGCCATCCACAGAATATTATGAGAGACATTTTAAATATCATTCCATATCATAATCGCTATACAAAGTCATATTTATATCTTGTCAAGCTCATATCAGATGATTATCATATCAATGAGGTCTACAACGTCGAACATATTTCAAGTATTCTGTTTTATAAAGAATATGGAATTAAGTTAAACGAAACTCAAGACTTCGAAAATACGAAATCAGATAATTTAGATATTCAATCAGAAAATACAATTTACGGAGCAATTATGAATAATGATCTAAAGAGATTCATTTCATTCACAGAAAAAGAGGGATTTAATAAAGATCAAACACTTAAAGATTATTACTATGAATATTCTAAAAAAGGATATTTATTACTTGAATTATGTTGTTACCATGGAGCTGTTGATTGTTTCAAGTTATTAAGAACGAAATTTAACTCAGAAATAACCGAAAAATGTCTAGAATTTTCATTTTTAGGAGGAAATCCAGAGATCATGAGTGAATGCTTGAAATATCAAAAACAAAATAATGAATGAATGAAATATGCAATTATTTCACATAACATTGATTTTGTTACATTCTTGATGAATGAATATAATATAAAGATTGATTTAAAATCCTGCGGAAAATATAAAAATCTTGAATCATTTTTAGTTTGTTTCGATCAAATTGATGATTTTAACTTATGTTTTGTTTATTCAGCGATGTTTAATATTCTATCTCTTTGCGAATATTTCATTTCACATGGTGCAAATATAAATGTTAAAGATAAAGATGCAAAAGCAGCTCTTCATTATGCAGCAGAGAATAATAGACTAGAAACAACCGAATTCCTTCTTTCACATGGTGCAAATATCAATGAAAAAGATTATTTTTTGGAAACAGCTCTTCATTATGCAGCAAAAAATAATAGTAAAGAAACGGTTGAACTCCTTCTTTCACATGGTGCAAATATCAATGAAAAAGGTGATTTTAAGGATACAGCTCTTCATTATGCAGCAGAGAATAATAGTAAAGAAACGGTTGAAATTCTTCTTTCACATGGTGCAAATATCAATGAGAAAAATGGATTAGGACTAACAGCTCTTCATTGTGCAGCAAAAAATAATATAGGGTGTCCAAAGGTGCGTTTAGCACAGCGCTCTATATGAGACTATTAAAGGAGATATATGCTGATTATAAATATATAATAAAAAATATGAATATATGTATATGATGAGTATGTTGTATTTTGGCGCCATGCCGGGATATAAAATGAATTTTGAGACAAGAGGCGGTTTCGCGGGAAATTTTGGCGGGATTTTTTTCATTTTTTTAATGAATCATAAAGAAAACATCCTCGCTCTTGCAAAAAAATGCAAAGACTGTAAAAAAATCTACGAGACATTGGTAAAATGCTTCGGTATGGATGCTCCTAGCTATTCCACTGTAACGTATCATGTTAGGATGTATCACTTCATGAACAAAAAGGCGCCCATCATAAAAATTGACAAAAAATCGCCGGATCAAAGAAAAATCAAAGCAATTCTTCAAGCGCTAGATGAAGACCCAAGAGCATCACTCAGAAGGATAGAGGAGATGACAAAGATACCACGTACAACAGTCAGTTATTATCTGCACAATTATTTAAACTACAAACTAGCGTATACACGTTGGGTTCCGCACAACCTTAATTCAGTTCAAAAAAAATCTAGAGTCCAATCTTCGAAAGAGCTCCTCTCTATATTGGGTGCGTATCAATCCAAGAAGTTTCGCTTTTTAGTAACAGGGGATGAGTCTTGGTTTCAATATGCAACAGAAGCCAAAATCATGTGGATCCCGAAGGATGAAAATCCGCAAACATTCCCGAAGAAAAAAATTGACACACCAATGATGATGTTGTCGGTTTTTTGGGGCGTGAATGGCATCATCGCAATTGATATTCTTCAAAAACCTAATACGATGAATGCTCAGTATCTAATTGACAATGTTCTTACTCAAATTATCAATTCTGATGAGTTTGAGAAATCCAAACAACAAAAACAAAAGTTTGCAATTCATTTTGATAATTCAAGAGTTCACAAAAGTCATAAGGTAATGAATTACTTGGTGGAAAACAATGTCAAAGTTGTTCCAAACCCAATTTATTCACCTGATATTGCACCCTCTGACTTTTATTTATTCGGCACGCTAAAAAAGAGAGCTGAAGGACGCGAATTCGCGAGTCCAGATGATCTTGAAAATTTTGTAAGAGAGCAATTTGAGCAATTTTCTCATGATGATTTAAAGCGTGTCTTTCAAGCCTGGATCGATCGCTGCGAACGCGTGATTGAATCCAATGGTGATTATATTTAAATAAACTTTATATATATGTAACTTGTTTATTTCTATTCGCAGTATTTAGGTTTGTGCTAAACACACCTTTGGACACCCTATAGTAAAGAAACAGTCGAATTCCTTCTTTCACATGGTGCAAATATCAATGAAAAAGGTGATTTTAAGGATACAGCTCTTCATTATGCAGCAGAGAATAATAGACTAGAAACAACCGAATTCCTTCTTTCACATGGTGCAAATATCAATGAAAAAGATTATTTTTTGGAAACAGCTCTTCATTATGCAGCAAAAAATAATAGTAAAGAAACGGTTGAACTCCTTCTTTCACATGGTGCAAATATCAATGAAAAAGGTGATTTTAAGGATACAGCTCTTCATTATGCAGCAAAAAATGATAGAAAAGAAACAACCGAACTCCTTCTTTCACATGGTGCAAATATCAATGAAAAAGATGATGATGGAAAAACAGCTCTTCATTATGCAGCAAAAAATGATAGTAAAAAAACAGCTAAACTCCTTCTTTCACATGGTGCAAATATCAATGAAAAAGATGCTGATGGAAAAACAGCTCTTCATTATGCAGCAAAAAATGATAGTAAAGAAACAGCTGAACTCCTACTTTCACATGGTGCCAGTTTCAATGAAAAAGATGAAGATTGAAATACTGCTTTTGATTTTGCAGAAGATAATGATGGCAGGGAAATTGAAATTATTTATCATATGATGAAGAAGAATAATTTCGAAAATGAAATTTTCATTAGAAATAGATAATAATAAGGCTTTTCGCTCTGTTTGAAATTCACATCCATTTCTAATATGGATGTTTTTAATTATAAGACATTAAAAACGAGTATCAATTACATATTCAAAGTCTTTTTTGTGTCTCATTCAGCGACTTAAAGCTTTAAAAAAGAAACTTATATACGCTTAATTATAATGTCAAGCATTTCCTGTTATCTTTGTATTCCTTTATCAATTTGACATCGATATCATTAAAAGAAATAAGTATAAAAAAAATCAAGAATTTTGGTAGTGGTATTTTACATTAGTATTTGAAATGCAGGGAGTAAAAATCTGAGTATCAGTAGTATTTTAAAATCAATTTACCAGTTCTCGCGGAATGGAGCGCTGGTGATTGTCTGGATGAGTTCTGGCTTAACAACGTGGGAAGCACGTGGTTGAGCTGGAAGACGCTTTGGAAGAGCAATCTTTGTGCCGGCCTTCTTGGCTTCCTCGTGAGCCTTGAGGTTAGCCTGGCAACGAGCAACGAAATCGTTCTTTGACTTGGATGGGAAAACGTGCTCTGTGCGGACGTAGATGCGCTTTGGAGCGATGTGGTTGTTGACACGGCGCTTAACAAGGATACCAACAGCGTGTGGAGAAACGTTCCAGACGATACCTGTGGCACCATGGTAAACACGGTTTGGCATGCCAGAGTGGAGAGCACCATTGACCTTGATATCGACAATGTCACCAATACGGAATGTACGGAGTGTGATGGATGGGGCTGGAGCACCATGCTTGCGGAACTTACGAGCGAAAAGATAGCGTGTAGCGTGACGAAGACCCTCAGTGTGTCCCATCGAAAAAGGCCCAAACAAACCGCTAATTCCCCTCAATTTAGAGACAGACTCCCCCAAAATTAAAAGGATTTTTGGAATATCTATATTCATTTATATACAAAAATACGTAAGGAATATAATGATCTTGATTTTGTCCACAAATAAGGATTTTTCTCTCTCGCACATCTAATTTCAACTAAATTGGCATATTACTATAGAATACATATCTTTTATTTTCTATGTATTCCATGATTTTTCTGTTTTTATATCTAAATTCTTTAAGATAAGTCAATAATCATTATCTTCATTTCAAACAAATGACAATCTTCATATATAACATGTTTCAAAAGTAATGTATATGGTTTATGTTAATACTATATATAATTATTTTTGAATTTGGTGCATTTTTTATGTATGAATACAAAAATCAAAATGATGATGAAAACGCAAGCAATGAAATATCAACATTAGACGATAATATCCAAATTGAATGCTTAGACCCATCAATTATATCAGTGTGTGGATCAAAATTCGAAGATCTCATTTTAAAGTTAGAGGAATTTATAAAAACAGACGCAAACAAAAACCAATACTTCGATTTAACTGATTTAAATACTGTTAACGACATCCTTTCTCAAATAACTCCATTATTATCAAATCCTACTTTAGCAGATGAATGTTGTGAATCAGATATTATTATTACAGCATTACAATTGCTATTTTCAAGTTCTGATACGCCTGAATCTACGCTTAATCACCTTACAGAAATTGGATATAGATTATTATTAAGAAAATTAAACGAAAAAACACAATTTTTACCAGAAGTATTTTGTTCATTAGCAATAAGTACTACCGGAAATTTACAAAAACGATCAATTGTTTCAATAACCAACATATTAGTAGATTTATACACTCAAGGAAAAGAAAATGATGAATTAGTCTTGAACATTAATGGATCAGTATCTCAAAAGCTACTTGATGACCTAATGATCGCTAATGATCCAATATTAATAAGTAATATTTTAAATTATTTTGACAATTTATTATTTCTAATATCACGAACCAAAAATCAGAATCCAAATCTATTTGCAGAGATTAAAACGATTTATCCAAAATTGGCAGAAATTTCATTAAGTTTTCTTGACCCTTACAACGAGATATTTACAGCCAGTGCTCTTCAGTTGCTATGCCAATTATGTGAAGATCCATTAGTTACAAAGGAACTTCTTAGTTCCGAAAATATTTTTCAAATTTTATTTCATTTGAATGAAATTCATCACGAACTATTTAATAAGTTAGAAGAATCAGAAGGTGATGAATTGATAAGCCAAGATATGAAATTATCACATGGAGTCTTTCAATTGATTCGTATTTTATCAATGACACAAAATTTTTCGAAAACAATTCCATTTATATTTGAAATACCTGATTTTGCTGATATTTTGAAATTTGAGCTTCATTTCGGACATAAGAATACAAAGGAAATCGTATTTGATATTATAGAATTGTTTATTGATACTAGATATGTTTATTTCCAAGAGAATGGTATAATTGATGAATTGTTTTCTATTTATTTAAATGATGAAACATCATTTACAGAAAAATCACATATTGTTAGAATAATTTTAACATTCTTTGATTTAGTTCCTGATACTGTTATTGAGCCTTATTTAACTGAAGAAGTAGTTATGAGTTTGTGCCAATTACTTGGGAAAACTATTCCAGGATATCCAAGATTTAATATTTGTTTTTGTGATGTATTTTATAAGTTGTGTATTTCATTTCCACATGTGTTAGAATTTCTCAGAGATGATGAAATACATGATGAACTTGATGAATACATAAATGACTTCGAAATGAATGATAGCGCAATTCATTTGCTAAAATTAATTGAAGACGGTCAAGGATCTTCTGATGAGTTTGATTAAATATATTATTTGTTTATTTTTAACTGAAAGTTTAATTATATCCTTTATCTCTTAATTAAAATTATCATGTCTTCCAATTTTTTAGATTTGTTTATCTCATATTGAATTAACTTGCAAAATATAAGTAAAATTATCATGTCAAATTTCTTTTTGAAATGAGAAAATCTAATAATGAGATAAATTTAATCGAAATTAGACAACAAATTCAAAGATTCACTTAATTTTTTTGCGAGAGACCCAAATAGAAGTAAATTGTTTTTTTCAACAAGTATTTATACACTTATGGTAGAGATAAATCATAATGAAATCTATGTTTTCTAAGATCAAATTATAAAAATTGGGAATATTTCATAAATTTCGAAGTCAATTCAGATATACAGACATAGAAGCTATTAATGAAGTAAAAATATGCTTATGACAGTTAAAGATAATACAGTAAACAAATAGATTTATGATAATGTCGGAATTAATGATGAAAGAGCGGTATCATCAATGTGGGTGAGCTTTTCAATAAATACTGGAATATTTGCTTCCCCTTCTGATTCCATCAACAGGGAATTTAAGATGTGTTTTGAGCAATCAACCAAAATTTGTTCATAACTTTGCATAATTTTGATATTAGGAACGTTGAAGTCTGCTGGTATTGCAACAGATTTCTCTATCAATCTAGAAGTGATCTTTGACGCTGCTGCTTGAGGATATAAAACAAATGGGAGAGGAATTCCGAGAATTCTGGACAATTCTCGAATATAATGTGTAGCATATCCCAAATAAGCTCTCATTTCGTTAAATTGTTGCAAATTTGCAGGTGTTTGGTAATAATTCATGTAACAAAACTTGTTGTTGTCTCCCAATGGAAATATTAGAAGCATCTCTTGAAGAGCCATCAGTCTGTACTCTTTCATTTTTTCGTAAGCTTCGATATCAGGTTTTGATGTTGTAATTCTTTCTTTATTTGCTTGTATATGCTTCGTAAGTTGTTCTTTTAGCGCCGATCGTCCTTCGTCATTTGTTGTTATGATAGTTGCCGCTTGCATTTTTTGATTTTGGTCGATAAAATCATGTTGAACTCTTCTTTTCTCTTTCATGCACTCCTCGTATTGCACCTTAAGGTCAGATAGTTCCTTTAAGTTAAGTCCTGTTTGAACAAGCCTTTCTTTTGTTTCGATAAAAGATTTTTGAGATTGTTGTAATTCTTCTATTTGGGCTTTGACTTGTACAACATTACGATAATCTAATGTTAATATAAAATCAACGTTAAATGAAACAGGATCTTCACTAATTGCATCAGATCTGCAGTAATATCCAGATTTGAATTCTAAAAGTAAAACATCGTAAATAGGTTTGAAACTTCTTGGCATTCCAAGGAAGATTAGTCCATTTAAATCGATTGTTTTTTCAAGATCGTTGAATTTGACTTTAAATTCCTTTGTTTTTGTTCTATGTTCTTTAAGTTCGACTAACTTTTCACAATTCCATGTAATTTTGTTATCAGAATTGGTGATTTTATTAATTTCAAACTGTTTTTCGTCAATTTGGACGATTAGAGGAGGTATTTCACTAAAATGCGCATCAGAGTAAATGGTAAATGATAAGATTTCATGAAAATTAAAGCTTGGAGGAATGAATACACATTGGACAGTATCCCCCATCTTAAAATAATGACAAAATATAGATATAAATCATATATTTATGGTGAATATTATCAGAATGTAAGAAAATTGAAGTTCAATTAAAATTGCCGATTTGAATTTCTTGAATAATGATCTTTTAACAAAGAAATAATTATCAGTGGCTGTATGTTGATAGCATATATTCACCATTTAATGATTAGGCAACTACAATCCAAAAACTGACACACCTAAAAAAAAATAAAAATCATTTCCTATTAGACCACTTAGACAGTGTTTTTATATTCATGAAGCAGACAAATTCAAAAAATTTTTTTGCTCATTCGTTTGCAATTTTCACGAAAATTTGCAATAATTTTGCTTTTTCTAGTTATGTCATATTCCATTGTAGACTATTATCGTTACTTTTGTATGGATCTCGAAGCAGAATTAAGTTTATTTCCATTCAAACAAAATCTCTAAATTTATATACAAACTGACTATAGAATAGATTTTAACAAAGACAAAACCATGTGTGACAGATGCAAATTCAACTCATCTAATAATCTAGCCAATAGTAGTAATCATGATGTTGTAATTTCCTACACAACAAGTAGACCATTTAACATAGTTATATTTATTAGAACATTACGTCAAACTGGCTCGAATTGCAGCGTTGTATTTTTTGTAACAGACGAATTTTTATCAAAAGTAAGTAACGACACCAAAAATTACGTTCTCAAGTGTGGAGGTCAATTCATAAACTACCATCAACCAACATACACCGAATTAGAAGACGATTGGTCTGATCCTTATATTCATATACATAATTTCATTAGATTAAATCTTCACGAACTAAACAGAATTGTTGTTTGCGACTTGTACGATACAGTTTTCCAAGGTGATCCCTTCAATGCCTACCTTCCCAAAAATCAATTACATTTAGCTGACGAAGGACGCGGTTTTGATACTAGCAATCGCGAATGGATCTCTAAATGTGCTCGTTTATCAAAACGTAAGCTCAATACATTAAATACAATCTGCGCAGGCTATTTCGGAGGCGACGCAGTTGTAATGAAGAGTTTTTTCAGAGCATTCTTGACGAATTTCCAGTTTGGAAAGGGTTTAGTTGATCAAGGTTGCATAAACGGAATTTCTGTGAATATTTCGAATGATAACGTCAAACATTTGGCAATGGTTGGTATTAAGAGAGGCCAGAAGCTTGGAAATATCACAGGTATAAACAGAAATGATCTTACAGTTGCAATTCTCCATCAAGTTCATTGGAATCCGTACTTGTTTAATCAGTTGGAAGAAATATGTCCAAAACCTCCAGGAGATTTCAGAGATTACTTAGGAAGATGTAAGGGATGCTTTGGTTACTAAAACAACGAGAAAAATCTAAAATTCAAAATGAAAAAATATAATGATAATAATATTGAGAATTCAAGAGCGCTGTGCCTACCGAGAATTCTTAGAATGATCTGTCTTTCTTTCTTGTTATAGAAAAAATGTTTTTATATGTTATGTAAAGATTATGTTATTTATAGGATTTCCGATATTTTTTCTTAACTGCTTTACCTTAAACAAGCTCTACTCTCATCTGAAAGAATCTCAATAAAAATTAAAAATAATTATTTTAATAATGATATCCATGTTTTGAAAGTATGGACTGCTTTATCATACTTCAAAAATTATGATTTCATCATAATTGTTTCATTTTCATTAATGTCGAAGTTCTGAATGTTAATATCAATGAAGATCCCCGACTATTATTTGAAAAATATGATGTAGCTACCATTAAAAAGATTAAAGAATCTGCACAAACTGAAATTGAACACAAGCAAAATGTTTTAAGGCAATTTATTGGAGATAATTATAAACCAGTTTTAGAAACTCCTCCTGTACTTAAAGATATACAAGTAATTTTTGAAGATACCAGGCAAACATTATCTAAAATTACAGAATATTCAAAAAACTTCAATTCAGATGGTGAAATTCAGGAAAAACAACCAGCTTCTCCTTATTCAGAAGTATCACAATTGTGTATGAGCGCTCTTTATTGCTTAGACAATAATAAATTTATCGAATCTTTACAAAATTCTGAATTAGCAAAAGAAAAATTAAAATTAATTGGTAAAAACTCAATTATAGCAATTTCATTAAGTGTTGCAATTGATTCTCTACCAAGTCGTATTCTTACAACAATCAAAAACTACTTAGAAGATCCAAATACAACTTTATCTTCTCCAATTCTTTCAGATTGCTATACAACCCTCATGAAATTCAATAAAGTTCAGCGTTTGAAATCATCAAATCCTTTCGAATTCATTAAAGAAGCGTTGATACAAAGAATTAAAAAATTATTCGAAAAAATTGGACAAATTAATGACATTTGTCAAAAGTTTTTACTCGTTTTAGAATCATCGATTGCATTTCTTAGTACTATTCATGAAGATTCCACTGATTTCATTGATACAATCACAAATTCATTCAGTAACTCGGATACATCTATCTCTAGCCAATATCGAATTACGAGATTTATTCAGACACGCCAAATCAATCCAAGATTTAGCAAATTCAAGCATAAATTCTCCAAATATTATTTCATTTTTGAATGAAACCGCAATTTCACCAGATTTCTGGAAATCAGCCTTCCTCCCTGTATTTAAGAAGCTTGCATCATCATCTCTTAAGCAATCTATTGATAATCTGCGCATAAATGAAAAATTATCTGATATTCTTTCAAACAACACAATTGATAGCTTCAATGCAACTAAATTTTCATTGGATTCCCAAGAAGACCTCAAATTACGCTCTCTTGGCCTCCCACCAATAATTACAGAATTTAGATCTTCTCTTGAGAACACATTCCTTGTTTTATCATCACAGTTGCAGAGCCAGATCACTCAGATTGCCACTGTTGATATGATTAGGGCTCCTTTGAATGATGTTTTGTCGAAATGCTGTAAATTACTTTCAATTTCACTTTCCTCTGCTTCAAATGGGACATCAGTACCATTAACTGTTTACCATTTATGTGGAGCTTTAGCATCTCCTTCCATTGTCTCAATTCTCTCAGAAAATTCCTCTTCATCAAGATCAATCAAAGAACTGACCAAAATACAAGAAAATGCAGCTCAATTATGGGCATCTTCTATTGCTACGAAGCTTGCAGATGATTATCTGTCGACAAATCCTGGATCTTCTTTTTCATATTTGGTTTCTCTCGAAAAGAAGATTTTGGAAGCTGCAGGACACATAAACACCCAAGTTTGTGCCAAAAACATGCGAAATGAAGCAAGAAAAGCTGTTGCAGAGAAACTTGGCCAAATCTTGGAAAATTTAACTCTCCAAGGAGGCAGTGAAGCCAGATCTATTGCAGAAAGCAAAGCGACAAACTTGTTCAAGGACTACTGTTTGTTTGATATTGTTTTGTCCATGCAAAACGCTTCAGTTGATTTAAGACCATCTTTCATCGAAAAAATGGATCCAACAAAATTCCACGAAAACGAAAAGAAATTTGTTGATGAAGCAAAGGCAACATTAGCTTCCAGCGGAGAACTGTTGAAGCTTATGAGTGGAGGAAAGTTAATTGCTCCTCAATCTTCAAACAAAGTTGACATCAACTCGAAAGTCAACTCTCTGTTTTCAAAAAGACTGAAATCTCAATAAAAAAATATATGTTATTTTCGTATAAAAAGTTTATTTTTTATTAACTATCAAAACATTGTTTCTATATTTATTATAAGCCAGGTACGCAATAAAACATCAATATAGTATATATATATATAATAAAAGCAAATAAAATAAGAGATGATGGGAATAGGTATACAATAAAACATCTCTATCATTACATAAACATATGTTATTTTTGAATATAGAGTTTATTTTTATTCACTATCGAAACATAGTTTCACTTGATATTGCTTAAACAAAGTATGCGCCCTTTTATTTAATGTTATATTTATAATAAATCAGGTACACATTATGTATAATAAAAGCATATAATATGAGATGATGGAAATAGATACAATAAAACATCTCTTACATTCTGTAAACATATAAACATATCAAAGCAAAGAAGCAACTATAGTTCATGCTTCACTAAATGACTCTAATAAAACAGTTATCTGGGCAAATATCCTACAATACTATCATAAGAGTTTGAAATTAGATGTTTTAACTTTTCCTTTGAATATGAACATTGTTTGGGATTATATTTAGTTACATCTTTGCCATCATATATTGATACAACTTGAGAGGTGTTTTATTACATCTATTCGCATAAGCAGTCTCCTACTAATTTTGAAATCTTTTTGATATGTAATTGAGAGCATCTTAGAAGGTGACATAGTGTATCTATGGTGCTATATTGTGATAAGCAGTGTGTTTTCCTATCAATTCTATGTGTTTATAAAAATGTGAATAATTTAAGAAAATTCATCAATTTACTGTAATTAAATAGCTTATAATTAAATGAGAGACTATAATCTGCTCGAATTTTGCTTTTTCTAGCCATAAAAATGGGTGAAAGGCCTACTGCATTCATTGCAGTGGCAAATGTTAAACAAGAGCAACAGAATTCATTCGAAGAATGGCTAACCGCAAAGCTTGGTGATGCTAAAGTTGATGTTGAATATCAAATAAGTCAGTCTTTTAACGATTTTATTTTAATTGAAGCAAAAGATTTACATAGTGCAAACCAATTAGTTAGAGTTATTAATGGTGCATCAATGGAAGATCTTAGTGAACCATTTTTGGCTGCTGTAATTAACTTCGAAAAAAATAATGATATTTATACTACAATAACTCAATTGATTAAATCAAAAGTCAAAGACGATTTATTAGATTTATCCGGAATTCAGAGTTTAATTAGCACACCTCTTGATCTTCCAGGAATTGGCTCTTCAATTTTACTTTACGCTGCATCAAATTGTTCAAATCGTACTGAAATCAGCCAAATAAGCTTTATCAAGAGCGGGATTACTAAAGGATTCTTCCTTCAGAACGTATTGAAAACATATTTTCCAAAATTAAAGAAACTTGCGCTAAATGGAAACCCTTGCATTAACAACCAACAGTTTCTTGCTAACATGAAGCGATCAAAAATCCAAATTATTACAAAAGATGAAGATCTTAATGAATTTTTCCAAGATGTTGAAATGAAGAACAGCAAAGCATTAGTTATATCATGTAGAATAGTACCAATGCATCCAATAAATCCAAATTTGGTTAAATTAGGAAATCCAAGGGCGCAAGGCAGAATTGAGCCACCAACAATATATGATTTCGATACTTGTGGAATTGACGTTTCAAAACCAATCAACAAATTCATGGTTGAATTTATGAAAAATTCATGGAAAGATTTACCATCATTAAAATCATATTACCACCCTATATCGTCTGTCTTTAGTGTCCTTGTTAAAGGTTGTGCACCAGATTCTCCAATGAAACGTCTTTTGAAATATTCTCGCGATGTTTCAATAAATACTGGAAATTTCATTACGGGTCCATCAGATATAGTATCAGCTCAAATTGAAATATTCGTTAAAGGCTTCTATGCTTATCCAACACGTATAGAAACTTATGATTTGGAAGATTTCTTGCATACTTTTGTATTACATGGAGTTTATCAAGACGTATATGGAAATACTTTTATGTTTGATAGATCTTTTGTTATTTCTTCAATCACTGGAAGTAATTTTATCTTGAACGATGAAATATACTTCCATGAACCACCTTTAGAGTAAAAATAAACTGTTATTTATACTATTATTAAAAATAAACTTGTTACATCCCAATATTTCAAAATATTTCATAATTTTAAAAACGATTTTGATTTTTATACCAATGGATACTGATCATATAGTTTCTTGAAAAATGGGACTAAATATTTAGTGATTGTCATGTTCCATTTTTATAATTATTGAGGAAATTATTGTGTTGGGATACTATATCATTGTCATTATAAAAGGGAAAACTCATTTTTAGTATAAGATATATTTCCAAAAATGATTCTCGCAAGACTGTAATAATAATTTATTTTTTAGTTCTAATGAATTGCATTATCGAAAATATCAGAAAAAGAAATAATAGCATCCTATAACAGAACATTATATTTTTGCACCATGAGAAAAAAGAAGTTCGGCTGTTTCTTTACTATTATAACTTGCTGCAAAATGAAGAGCTGTATATCCATCTTCATCTTTTTCATTGACATTTGCACCATGTAAGAGAAGAAGTTCGGCTGTTTCTAGTCTATTATTTTTTGCTGCAAAATGAAGAGCTGTTCTACCAAAATTACTTTTTTCATTGATATTTGCACCGCGTGAAAGAAGAAGTTCGACTATTTCTTTACAATTATTTGGTGCTGCAAGATGAAGAGCTGTAAATCCATTTTCATCTTTTTCATTGATATTTTGACCATGTGAAAGAAGAGCTTCAGCTATTTCTTTATAATTCCTGTCTGCAGCAATTTGGAAAACAGTTTCTCCAATATTATTTTTTTCATTGATATTTGCACCATGTTTAAGAAGAACTTCTACCGTTTCTTTACAATTAAAGTCTGCAGCAATATGAAGAGCGGTTTCTTTAAAATCTTCATTTTTTGCATTGACATTTGCACCATGTGAAAGGAGAACTTCTGCAGTTTCTTTACAATTATATCTTGCTGCAAAATGAAGAGCGGTTTCTTTAGCAATATCTTTTGCGTTGACATTTGCACCATGTGAAAGGAGAACTTCTGCAGTTTCTTTACAATTATATTTTGCTGCAAAATGAAGAGCGGTTTCACCATAATTATTTTCTGCATTAACTTTTGCACCATGTGATAGGAAATATTCACAAAGAGATGGAATAGCAAATTTCGCCGAATTAATAAAGCATTTGTTTAGATCATTAGTTTGATCGAAATAAACTAAAAATGCATCAAGATTTTTGAAAGTTGCACAAATTTCTAAATCGATCTCTATATTATATTCATTCATCAAGAATGTAACAAAATCAATGTTGCGTGAAATAATTGCATATTCCACGCACTTATAAGTTGGTTTTTGATATTTCAAGCATTCACTCATGATCTCTGGATTTCCTCCTAAAAATGAAAATTCTAGACATTTTTCGGTTATTTCTGAGTTAAATTTTGTTCTTAATAACTTGAAACAATCAACAGCTCCATGGTAACAACATAATTCAAGTAATGAATATTCTTTTTTAGAAAATGGTGGATATAAATCGCTTTCAAGTTTTTGATTTTTATCAAATTCGTCTGTTCCAGTAAATGTGATGAATTTTTCTTTGTCATTATACATAATTGCTCTGTAGATCGTATTTTTGGTATGAATATCGAGATTATCTGTTTTGATTGATTCGAAATTATCTAATTTGTTTAATTTAATTCCATATTCTTTATAAAAAAGGAAGTTTGAAATAATTTGAATACTATCGACTTCTTTGACATGATAATCATCAGATATGAGTTTGGCAAGAGATAAATATGCCTTCGCATAGCGGTTATTATACGGAATGATTTTTAAAATATCCTCCATAATATTTTGGGTGGATGTTTCTTTGAATCAATCAATTCTGTTATGATCTTTTTGTAAATTGTGTTTAATTCTTCTTCTTTTTCCATTTTGAGCTGGTACAACGCATTATATGAATCGATGTAGTATTTGTTGATACTTCGCAATTTGCTGTATTCGCTAGGATGAATGTCTTGATCAGACATGAAAAAAATTTAAAAGCTATAAAATTGCATTTTACCATACAAAACATCCTTTGTATTAATTAGAAGAAAAGTTACAATGTTATACATGGGAAAAGCAATGATCACAAAGATTTCCGATAAAATTTATGGATTTCAATAAAGTTCACAGATACAAAATAACATTATAAGAATAAGAAGGTCGAAATCAAAAAGATCTTCATCCTATTAAAGGTAGATGCACGAAATGTGACACCTCTCTTCTTTTTTCCTAGGGAGACTGCTTTCTTTCTTTCTGCTCGTCATGCCAGAAATGAAAGAAATGATTGGTGCAGAATAATTTATTACTCCAATTGGCAACTATCTTGTAATATACTTGGGACTAAAGAATGTTAGTATTGTAAAAAATCCAATTGTTCGATGCTCAACTCATCACGTCTTGCATTAAAGTTGATACCTTTATTTTTTCGAAGCAAAAACGAACAAAGTGTTACTTCAAAAAAATACCCAAATCAATAAACAATTTCCTTTTTTAGCTTCGAATTTTGCTCGTCTCGAGCCATATTTTTTGTTTAATTTTCATAATCCGATAAAACATATGCATTATCAAGTAAAACAGGGATATTATATCTCGAAATCAAACTAAAGCCATTCTATGAGTCCATACACACTTTTACTATACTTCATCTGTCATGCATAATTGGAACAATTTTGGTCGATACCTTTGTTGTCGACGAAGTTCCTCCTTTTGTCATTATCATAACAATGTCACTATCAGAATGTATTGCAAATGGTATTGAATTAGTTTGTATTTTTTCTGATTTCCGATGAATTATAAAAAGTGACAAAGATGACAAGTGCAAAAGATGCCCAATTGAATGTTTTGAAGGAAAAACTTGAGAAAGTGCAGGCAGAAATCAATGAACTAGCAGAAAGGTTCCAAGCAATTCCAAGAGGTTTATCTGATGAAGAAATCGGAGAAAGACTTTTAGAAGCCTTTTTAAATGATACACCTTTTGATAGATTCCAATTTGGTCGTCAACCAGTTAAACTCGCAATGATAAATGCTGCATTTAACACAGGTGATTTAGAAATCGTCTCTACTTGCTTTGGATTCGTTGAACAAAGCATGACGCCATCCGCATTTTATCGTATGATTGATGGAAACGAAAGATACATGAATATTTACAATATGCTTCACAAATCTAACAATATGTACATTCGAAGAGATAGAACTTTCTACAGACCAGAAAATCTCGATCAGCTCAGAAAAATGGCTGAAGCTATACCAAAAGGTATTCTTAAATATGTTTTAAACGATACAATTGACGTCATATCAGGTCAAACACCCGAAATCAAATTTGAGGAAGTTGATGTTAAATGGGGTGACTTCAGAGATGCATGCCTTCGTCAATCATACTTCGAAATTAATCCGAAAACTCTTTGTTCTAAAAATGGCTTCTTCTCCAAGAAATGGAAGTCAGCAATTGATCCCTATCAAGGTGCAAGAATGGCTATGCACTGGAAATGCCCTCCTCAAGTTATTCAAGGATTTATCAGTCAAATATCAGATAATAAGCAAAAAGCATTCTTCAATAAGTAACTACCATAATGAATTGCATTGTAATTCATATTAATTTAATATTCTTTGCTATTACTTTCAAATTAATGTTTGTATCTAAAATATATTTTTTAATTTCGATTTATTTATTTCAAATCTTTCACTTATCAGCTGTAGTGGCGCATTTTTAAATGAAAATGATGTTATAACATAGTCTTATTGATCAAAATTAAATTTTTTAGAAACAATATGAATAAAATTTAATGGGATTATGAGCCATAAATGGTACTTTCCATCTATCGAGATGAAATAAAAGATAAAACAATGAAGTTCAAAAAAAATATAAAAATAAAATTCATAAAAAAATAATCATCGCTATCGCTTTTCAGCAATGTCAGGCAAGGATTCCCCTTTTTCGCAGATTCTTGAGCAGGCAACTACTGAATTTCAGCAGTTTGCCTCCAGTCTCCCTAAAGGTGCTATTGGAATCTATCCGAAGAAGATGGAAGGCTATCTTCTTCGTCTTATTAACTTCAAAGTCTTTCAAAAGTACTTCGCTGAGCTCACTGATGCTGAAGGATGGGCCCCTAAGACACCAACAGGCTGTGTCGTAGCTTTTACACCAAACCATCCTGATTACTTAAAAAGAATTTTAGACAAGTTTTCTACAGCTCCTGATTATCAGAAGCATGTCTTGATTATGCCAAGATATGGTGAAAGATGCAGAAATGTTGTTAAAACATCAGGATTGGATGGACAAATTAATATCGTCGAGTTTCATGCTGATATGGTTCCTGTAGAACCTTACGAGTTCCTTGTACCTGCTCCAGAAACATTTAAGAGACTATATATTGATGGCGATATCGATGATTTATTCTTAATTTCTCGTGCAATTGTCAAAATCGAAATTCTTCATGGTATGTTCCCAGAAGTTGTTACATTTGGTGAGAACTCAGAAAGAGTATCCCATCTTATTCAAGAAATGAAGGCTCAAATCGGTCTTGGCGCTTTCCAAGCCCATCCAACTTTCCACAAGATCATTATTCTCGACAGAATCGTTGATAACATGACCCCACTCCTTACCCAATTTACATACAACGGCGTTCTTGATGAAACAATGAACCCTTCTTACGGACTTCTCAATTTAACAGATGATATCAAGTCTGACAAGCGCCAGATCATCGTTAGTGATGATGATCCAGCGTTCAAAGACATTCGCGGAATGAAGCTTCCTGAGGCCAACGCTTTCATCGCAAAGTGCGGTGAAGAAATGAACAAAATTACTCGCGGTGAAGTACTCAAGAAAGGTATGGAAATGGCTAAATTCAAGGTACAGGCCATGCACGCACAGAGCTTGGCCAACAGAAAGCCTTACTTCGCACTTCATCTCGAAATCATGGCACATCTTACTCTCGCTAAGGCCAACGATGAGCTTTTCAATGAAGCCATCGGCTTTGAACTCAATTCCATCCTCGGATTCGAACCACCTCTTGATTTAGCAAATCGACTCATCAGATACGACGAACACTGGTCAGAAGCGCTTCGTCTCTACTGCATTGCATCACAATCCCGCGGTGGCCTGCCCGGAAACATCATTATTCCATTCAGAAACAAGCTCATTGCCAGATTTGGCCTTAGTTTCGTCAAATACCTCGAACAGATGGAAAAGATCGGCCTTCTCACACAACAGAGGACAATTCTCTTCGTTCCAATTCCTCGCGCCTTCTCTTTCAGTTCATCTGCTTCACTTTTCGGATTATTACCAAAGAATTCGAACCAAGATGTCGTAGATGACTTCAACAACAAAGACATTGGCTCCTTCTACGATGGTTACGTTCCCCTCACAGCCCGTCTCGTCCAACAAGCGACGGAAGGACCAATTACTAAGTCTAGCTACTTGAAAGCGTTCGATGCACTGAATATCAAGTACAAAGTCAAGACTGTTGTTGACCAGCCTTTCGCTGAAGAGCCAGATGTCAAGAAGATACTGGTGTTTATCATCGGAGGCATGACATACTCTGAATCCATCGCAATCAGAGAAATTGGAAACAGAATCTACTCAGGAGGTGTTGAGTACTATATCGGAAGTACTTCTATCATCTCTGCAAATAGATTCCTTAAGGAAATGTGTCCAATTATGCCTGATTAAGAATACTTTTAATGTTAATTAAAACAGATGTCATTTTATTTTATTTGATTACCAATACATGATTCTATTATGGAGTAAATACACTGTATAAATAAATTATTTTTTAAAAAATAATGTTAATACAATATTAACTCTATCTTCAACATAACAAGGCATACTAAATGTTTATATAATTTCTTTTGATCTTGACAGACACTCAAAAGAGAGAAAAGAAATAATTATGAAAAGCTTTAATTTATAAGTTCAAAGTGCGATTTATGAAATTAAGGTATTCAATTGAAGAAACATCCAATGAAAGTTCCTGAATAAATAAGTTGCAGCATCTGTAGTCCAAGTATTCTTCCGCCACTATTCTTGTTAAACTTGCTTTCTTGGTCGATTCAAGAGTGAATAGTCAAAATAATCAAGAAATTGTCTTCGACATGTTTTAATGCTGAAATATGTTAAAGAAGATCCCAAAAATTGGTTCATTAACAATTGCGATTTACTACATTTTTGATGATGCAACTTGAAGAGAAGTCCTTCCATAATGAGCTTTTCCTTCAATATGTACATCATGTAAAAGATTAAATTTAACTGTTTCTTTACTATGATATTAACCGGTTCAATCTGAAGATCTGTTTCATTTCGTTAAAGATATTTTTGTTTCTTGTAAAAAGTGTTTGTTATCTATAAAAAGAAATTTTTAACTATTTATATATAAAACAAACAAGCAAATAACTAATATTTATTTGGATAAAAATGTTAGAAGGAAAACTTCAATAGCCTGTAATTCTCTTTCATCAAATATCTTATTCCTGACCTCTGGACTCAAATCATTCATGAATTCATTGATTGTTTTTGCAATTGCAGCAGGATTTTCAATAAAAGGCGGGGAATAGCATTTCATTACAGGGATTTCGATTCCATTCATCATTCCGTACATCAGGATAGTTGAAACATCCTTTGAAAGAAGTAAAACCTTTGGAAGAATTCCTGATACGTTAATTGGGGGTGAAACCATCGATCTAAGCTCTGTTTCTACATCATCTGTATCTGGTTTAATGTATTTCTTCTTTTGTATCTTAGAAGAAGGCTTTATCATCAAAGTAAACTGCATCAATAAATATTTCCCGAGAAATTCACTGGCAGGACCAAGAAAAGAGTCAACAAGGCCAATGACTTTATCAAATATGGCTACTTGTTGATGATTATTCGAGTAAACCATGAATTCCGCAAATAAACTTGAAGCAATTGCGATTTTTACGCCAGAATGAGATGTCAATTGGGTTAATTCTGATAGTTCTCGACTAAACAAGTTCAAAAGTTTAGATCTCTCCTTTCTATCAGTTAATAATTTTTGGACATCTTTAATTTCTTTCCGGAGATTGGAAATTTCAGTGGTAACATCAGTGTTCTTTAGTATATACAACATTTCTGACTTGATTTTCGACTCCGTTGTTGTATTTATCAAATTTAGGCTTTCTTGAAGGGCTTTTTTAACGTCATTCTGGTTAGGATTGAGTATAATCGATGGAGAACTAAATAACTTGTACAGCGATGAGTTGTTTTTCTTCTTTTTGATCTCAATATTATCAATTCCCAAATATTTCATTGAATAGCATGGGAACCAGAACGGAAGCTCGTCAATATCCTCTAATGCATCATCTAGAGTCTGTTCCGTGATGTTTTTGATTGGTCTTTCAATGGATTTTGGAAAATCAGAAAATTGTTGAATGGAAACAATGAATCTATAAAGAATCAATAAGCTTTTGGTAGTAAAAAAGATTGGTTGATGTGCACATTGAACAATATCGCAAAAAGAAGCAAGAGATGGCAATTTTTGTTTTGCTTTTGATTCATTTATCAAATCAATGACAACGAAGGGATTAAATGACTGAAATTCTTGCATTTGTTGTAATTCTTTGTCAATTTCTGGTAATCTTTCTTTAGATTTAAATTTTGATTCGAAAACTTGATAAATATTAGAGAAATACTGGGCATCTTCATTCGCCATTGGAATTTCACATACTCCGTAAAGTAAAAGATTGATGAAAACTGGTTTAATGAGGCAATCAAAAAATAATATTCTAATTAAATTATTTTTCTCGACTTCTTTGTCTGTAATATATTCGCATTCATCAACAAGTTTGAAAAACTGTTGATAGAAATTGTTTAATACATCAGGAAGAAGATAAAAATTATTTTGAATTTTTTCTAAGCATGTTTCAGCGTAAGTAAGTAAATATTTTGCAACAAACTTGTCTGAACTGTTGTAAATTTGTATGAAATCAATCAAAATTTCATGAAATGTTTCTCTCATAAAAGGAAGTAAATTTAAGCATGAATAGAATCCTCTGACTGCATGACAAAACCAATTATTGAAAGCATCTGCGTAATTTCCTTTGTTATCTATTAATATCTGTGAAAACCAGTAAATAAGTTGATTTGCATATGATTTGGCTGGTTCGTCTGCCCAGCAGTATGCAAAAAGTGCTGGAAATACGGTTCTTAATAATGTTATTGATGGATGAATTAACGATTTATTTTTTGGGAGTTTTGTAATATCAATTTTGTAAAATGCAGGTAAGAACTGTTCGAAACTATCGAATAATGAATTTAAAAATGATTTGAATGGTACTGTGGAAAAATCATCTGGCAAATCTAAGGAAGTAAAAGAATCTGCTGCTTCAATCTTATCTGTTTTCAATTGGTAATTGCTTTATGAACTTTTTCATTTGGCTTTTGTCACAGTTTTCCATTATTGTTAAGCGATTTATAAATAAAAATTTCGAAATTAGTAATTGTTTCATCATAGTTTGTAACAGAAACTTGATTTCCTATCGATTTGGTCATTCAATACTTTGAGGAGGAGTGTTTGTTTATGAATTTCTTTTTGGAGCTCAAAACAATTTTGCTCCACCTCCATCAAAAGTGAGAATCTTGATTGGAAATAGATTATTCATATAAATTTCTAAGTAATACAAGCAAACATATCACAAACCTTTTAATTGTATGAAACGGAAGATAAAATATTGGCTTTGACTAAAAATCATTCTCTAAACAATATTTTATAAGGTATGTAGGATCGAAATATAATATTGTCGCTTAAAAAAATAAATGATATGTCAGAATGTCAGATATGATGACAAATTTTTTTTTTTTTCTTCATGGCATTTAAGATACAGACATTGTTATTTCTTTCTTCAATGATGACTGTTCTCTTTCTTGCCTCTGCTTTATTCCTCGAATACAAATATCTCAAAACTTCAATGCTTTACCTGATTTTTAAAGGTAGGTATCGATACATCTTTTTACTCAATGATATCAGTAATGTTTTTCGCGGTCTTGTTGGAATTTGTTATATATTTAGATCCTTCGAAAAATTAATATATTATTCGGCATATACATTAGTTACTTTATCCGAAATTGGATTGATGACATACGGAATCGGATTTATTAAAATGGATGAAAAGCAGTTAAAGGACGTATGGACAAATGTAACTTATCAAGACCAATTTTCAAAAATAGAAAAAGCATTAAGATGCTGTGGTTATTCCAATGTTTTAATGTCAGCATCAGGAAAGTGCGTATATACAACTGTATGCCAAGAAGTTTTCAGCAATGAAGAAAGCTATCGTAGAACTGCAACAATAATTCTCGTTTTCTCTTCAATTTTATTCCAAATTTATAACTACCACGCTATATATACCATCTCTGGCCCACGAAAAGTCAAGCCAAGTGAATTTGAAGACTTAATTGAATCTGCACAATAAAAATCTTGTTTTTATTTCTAGTTAAAGTGATAGATTTATGTGTTTTTGAATTCTATTTTTATCTTCTTTAGTTTTTCCGTTTGAAAATAAAATAAACTACCTCGATTTGCTGTTATTCATAATGAATATGGCTTTTTTCATACAAACAAAGTGTTGAGAATATATGACATAAAAAAAAATATCATATTGTTTAATAGCCCCTATACAAAGTTATTTTTCTATATTGATAAACTCATGTCTAATGATCATCATGCCAAAGATGCAAATGGAATTTGCATGAAAAATATATTTGATTTTGTTACATTCATGAAGAATGATTATTATTTGATTGTTTATGCTATAAAATCTTCAAGCATCTCTAATTTTCTTCGATTAAAATAATGATATTGAAAAATGCTTTATGAATTAATACAGGTTCAATATTTCATTATTTTGCAAATTTTTTTTCACGTAGTGCAAATATCATTGAGCAAGGTGAATTTAGAAAGCACATTTTAATAGTAAAGAAGTAGTTGGTAGTCTTCTTCTATATAGTGCAAGTCTCAATAAAAAAGATGATATAAGAAAAACTGCTCATCATTATGCAGCTTTGAATAATTATAAAGAAATAATCGAAAATCTTACTACACATGGAGCGAAACTGTAATGTTTCATCTTAAGATATTTTTCGTAGATAATTTTCATTAGGAATAAATATATTTAATAAAAAACAGGTTGATATTCATTATGATAGAATAAAAATAGTTTTATTAGTAAGATGTTTCCAGAAAAGATGTGTAGAAGGATAACGTAAAGATTTGAGATTTAAAAGATTATTCGAAACATGTGCAATATGACATGAAATCATAAGTCTTCGTGGAATTCCGGAAGAAACAATCATTTTAAGATAATCTGTGGATGTGTTCTCAATAATAAGAGGACATCGAATGGATTTGCAATCATGGAATGCATCAATCTCAACATCTGAAACTGAAAGTGGGAAATTGATGTATTTCAGATTTAAACAGTTGTTGAATGAATGTTCTTCAATAACAGAAACACTGTCTGATGTAATATTGATTTTCTCAATGTTGTTGCTAGAATTGAATGAATAACTACAGATAACATCGCAGCTAATGTTGAGTTCTTTGTCTTTTGAGGAACTCAAATGAAAAATAAGTTCCCATTTATTATTGTTTTTGTAGTATAAAGTATTATCAATACATTTGTATTTATCTGATGAAAAATTACTGATATTTGTAAGAGATTCGCATTCTGAAATAGAATTAATTGAAAATGTATCAAGTGAGTTTGTTTCACTGAATATAATTGATTTTAGTTTCTTACAATAAAGAAATGAATATTCTGAAATCATTTTAAAAGATTGTGGAATTTTAATACTTTCTAATGAAGAACAATTCTCAAATGATTTATATCCAATCTCTTCTGATCCTTCTCGAATTGTAACTTCTTCTAAATTAGTACATCCACAAAAACAATGATAAGGAATATTTGTGATATATTAACTTTCTTTAATTTAATACAATTCTCAAATGCATTATTCATAACAGTCAAAACTGGTGATGAAAATGTGAAATTTTCTAAATTATTGCAATCTTTAAATGATGACATGCCTAATGTTTGTAAATAAGGAAATGAATAATTAAATGATCTTATTTTTGAACAATTTCTAAATGCTTCTTTTCCTATATAAGTTATTTGAGAATCTTCTGTGAAATAAAATTTCTCAATTATAGAATTTTCAAATACTTTTTCGTTGATTTTTTTAACAGATTTAGGAATTGTAATACGAGTATTATCATAATAAGGAAAATATCCCCAATATTCATAAATTATGGCTTGATCAGAATCCATAATCAAACAGTCTGGTGTAATAATAAGATTTGATTCATTCAGATATAAATTGAAACTTTTGTATTTCTTTTAATTGACAAAAAATATATGAAGAATGATAAAATAGAGTTTTGCAAGTGAACGACAATTTGACTTTTGGCATGATTCTGTAACAAAATAATTCTATAACAGTCATTGTTGAATTAGGAATTTAATTTAGTTCAAGATTTTCACAACAACCAAATACATATTCACCAATGTAGTCTATTGGACTAAAAAAGTAACATTTATTAAGTTTGACAATCATAGAAAGCCATTTTTCAATCCTTTTCACACTTGATGGAATTATAATTGTTCTGAGATCTGTACCATAAAAGATTGAACACCAATATTTGATTGAATTTGGAATTGTAAATATTTCCGATACGTGAATGTAATAAGAAAAACTTTCCAAGAGTTGTGACTGTATTTGGAATTATAATTGTTTTGATATGTGAAAGTATAAAGCAATACTTTCCAATAGTTGTGGTTGAATTTGGAATTGTAATTGTTTCGATAGATGTACAATAAAAGCATTGATCTCCAATACTTGTGAGTGAATTGGAAGAAAATAGTTTTTATGTGTGAATCATGAAAGCAATACACTCCAATATTGTGACTGAATTTGGAATTATAAGTGTTTTCAATGGTTGAATATGAAAAGCAATACTCATTAATTGTTGTGATTGTATCTGGAATTTCATATCCTGTTTTGTTACAAATAAAAAATAAAATACTTTCATTTTTTGAATAAACAGCATTTCCATCAGATGTTAAGTAGTTACTACTAGGATGAACCGAAATATTTGTTAATTATAATAAAAAGCTTCTCCATGAATTTTTAGAAACTTTTCTGGAATTTGAAACAAAGTGATTGCAGTTTGAGTAAATACTTTATTTTCTAATGAAGTTAAATTTGATCCTTCCTCAAAAGTAACATTTTGGAGTTTATCACAGCAATTAAATACCTTATTATGTATTTTTTCAACAGTGCTGGAATGATAATACTTGTCATTTGTGAAATAGAATAAAATGCACTGCTTCCTATTTCTAGGAGTCCTTCTGGTAAAAGTATCTGATTGACATTAGAACAGCCATTAAATGCATAAGAAGATATTTTTGTAAGTTTCTTGCATGATGATAGATTTATAGTAGTAAGATTTGTACATCCACAAAAACTATTTTTTCCAATTGTAGTTAAGGTTAGGATTTTCTTCAAATGAAAAGGAAAATAAAGTTTTGAGAAGGTAAAAGCATTGATCTTGGATGATTTCGCATGTGGATGATATCCTGAGGTCTAGTGATGTATCATTAACTTTTGTGAGGTTTTTGCCGTCACTAGAAAAAAAAACGTTTGTCAATATCTTTGTAAAGAAGTAATAAAAAAGTAATCATAATGAATTACTCAATTACACCTTCTCCTTACGTCGTTGTTTATGATAGAAATTTGAGAAAAAGATAGAGACCAACGCTCAATAAATTTTGAAAAAAAATTTTAAAAAAATTGAAAGAAACTATCACTATCAAAAATTGACAGTATTCGTTTTCACATTCTCAAAAAATGAAATCTTATCTTTTCTTTTATTATTTTTAGAATTGAAAGATGGAATACAAAAATTTTTTACGGTGCGACCAAAACCAAAGTGAAATTTCACTAAAAGTGACGATTATTTTGAAAATTCATTATCCATGGCAATTATGTATACTATTCATCAGAACCTACTCTGTGGTATCATTTTATTTCTCGATTGATGAAGTTTGAAGAATATTAAATTTGATGATTGAATTATTTGATATTATTTAATAAATATAATTCATCAATACAAAAAAAAATGATTGTGTATACTATATACTTCGATTATTGATATTAAGAAATGCTTTATTGATTAAGACAGATTCAATATTACATTCTTTTGCAAATATTTTCTTTCACATAGTGCAAATATCAATGAAAAAAAAAATGAATCTGGAAATACTTCTTTTTATTATTCAGCATTGAATAATAATAATAAAGAAACAGCAGAACTTATAATTTCATCTGGTGCAAACATTAATAATAAGAAAAAAATAAAAGAAAGAAAACACTTTTTAAAATAGTCGTGATTCTTAAAACATATGATACAAAAACTATATTGTTTCTACATAAGATAATTTTCATTAGGAATAAATATATTTAATAGAAAACAGGATGTTGTTCATTATGATAAAATAAAAATAGTTTTACTTAGTAAGATGTTTCCAGAAAAGATGTGTAGAAGGATAACGTAAAGATTTGAGATTTAAAAGATTATTCGAAACATGTGCAATATGACATGAAATCATAAGTCTTCGTGGAATTCCGGAAGAAACAATCATTTTAAGATAATCTGTGGATGTGTTCTCAATAATAAGAGGACATCGAATGGATTTGCAATCATGGAATGCATCAATCTCAACATCTGAAACTGAAAGTGGGAAATTGATGTATTTCAGATTTAAACAGTTGTTGAATGAATGTTCTTCAATAACAGAAACACTGTCTGATGTAATATTGATTTTCTCAATGTTGTTGCTAGAATTGAATGAATAACTACAGATAACATCGCAGCTAATGTTGAGTTCTTTGTCTTTGAGGAACTCAAGAAAAATAAGTTCCCATTTATTATTGTTTTTGTAGTATAAAGTATTATCAATGCATTTGTATTTTTCTGATGAAAAATTACTGATATTTGTAAGAGATTCGCATTCTGAAATAGAATTAATTGAAAATGTATCAAGTGAGTTTGTTTCACTGAATATAATTGATTTTAGTTTCTTACAATAAAGAAATGAATATTCTGAAATGATTTTAAAAGATTGTGGAATTTTAATACTTAATAATGAAGAACAATTCTCAAATGATTTATATCCAATCTCTTCTGATCCTTCTCGAATTGTAACTTCTTCTAAATTAGTACATCCACAAAAACAATGATAAGGAATATTTGTGATATTACGAACTTTCTTTAATTTAATGCAATTCTCAAATGCATTATTCATAACAGTCAAAACTGGTGATGAAAATGTGAAATTTTCTAAATTATTGCAATCTTTAAATGATGATGTTCCTAATGTTTGTAAATAAGGAAATGAATAATTAAATGATCTTA